GTGCCTTGCTTGCAGGTCACCTTAAACCAGGGAAATGCAGTGAGATGCACCCAACAGCCCCCCTGCACCCATCGTTCCCCCCTGGGGACCACCAACGCCCTACCTCACACCCGTGCTCACACACCCAGGTTTGGGCACCGAGGTCCCCCTTCCCCTCTGCGAGGTGGCACCTCGGGACACCCAGGCAATGCATTCCAACAACGCTTTGGGTGCACCGAGTGCCACCCCCAACCCCCGCTCCCCAGCACCTGGCTGCGGCTCAGCGGTGCCATGCGGTTGCACAACCCCTTTGTTGTGTGGGTGGGGGAAGAGATGCAGGGCTCGCCGCTCCCTGCCTGGGCATGAGTCACACAGTGCTCCAGGCACATCTGCTGCGGGGCGCGGGGGTGGCACGGCCTCGGCAGGGTACAGGGGGCACTGGGGCCGTGCCATGGGGTCACATGTGCCACAGGAGCATGCGTGCGTCCTCCCTGCGTGCATCAGGAATGCCTGTGTGTGCTGGCAGCAACCCAGGAGCTGGGCACGAGCACCCTCCTCCTTTCCATTGATTATTTTTTTATATATATAGATATATAATATATATATAATATAATATATATATATATTAAAATTACATTTCTCTTTACAAAAACAATTCGACATCAGGCCAAGGGATGGAGCTCATCTCCTCAGCCAGGGCACAGACCCCCCAGACACAGGGGCTGTGGCATAGTCTCAACTGTTGGCAGGATCCTTTTTGGGGTTGCCCCCATCCCCCAGGTGGGGCTCAGTCCAGAGTCCAGCAGCAGATGGTGGGATCGGGGTGGTGACCCCGCAGTGAGACGCCTGCTCTGGGTCCGGTATCGCTCACCTGGTTCCTGCTGTCACCGCCTGCAAGGAGAGCATATGAGATCAGGGGGTGACAGAGTTGGATCCCATCCCCAGAGTAATATTCATGGACCTACTTCTGCCTGGAGGAGCTGTAGGGGTCGAGGAGGTGGGAGCTGGCCTGCGCCAGGTTCCAGTCGAACATCTCCAGCACCCGGTGGCACTCCACACGGGACTTCAGCCCCAGGCAGAAGAGCTGCTCCACCTGCAAGGGGACACAGGGCATAAGGATCAGGGTGCCAGGGATTGTTCCCACCCTGCTGGCAGCAGGTGCTGCAGGACGCTGTACCTTCAAGTACTGGATGGCACGTTGAACATTCCAGCCGTGGTTCTGCAGGGCTGCCTGGCACTCCTCGGTGGTGACGCCATGCACTGTGTCCTGAACCTGGAGAAGAATGGAGGTCACTGTGTGTTACTGTGGGCAGCAGAGTTGGGGGGTCAGGGAGACACTATGGCTGCCACCCCCAAGACTCCATTCCCAATCAGGAGTTGGGCACCAGCAATGGGGTGTCAACATGGTGTTTCTGCCTCCTGGGCTGGGGTGACAGCCACCTTCCTGCTAGACCCATGAGTCTTGCTGCAGGTAGGGCTAATTTGGGTAAAAAGGGCCCTCAATCCCCACGTGGGAGCTGCAATGACACTCCTGCATGTCTTCAACCCTCTGCAGGTTGAACACTGGGAAACAGATGCATGGGGTGGGGATACCTGTTGCCAACGGCCACCTGGACAAAAGTCACCACATCCCTCCTTACCAGCCGGATCTTCTCCGAGGGACGATAACCATCTGGCCCATCATATACAATTTTCTGGAGGCTGCAGGAAGCTTTCACCAAACACTTGGGCCCAAGATTGCTGTTGTTGGACGAGAAGTTGGCCTTGTAGTCAGGCTGCTGCTGCACCATGGGCCGGACGGTGGCCGTGGTGACCGTGCGGGATGCTGGTGCCTCTTCAGGGCTTTTGGCCTCCTTGAAAAACTTCTCATACTTGTCCAGGTAGGCAGGGCGCTCGGGCAGCAGGTAATAGTGGGTGTTGCTGACCTTCTGCCCATCCTTCACAATGGGCAGGATGCAAGGCCCCTTGGAGCAGTCCTTGCCCTGTGCCTGGATCACTTTGGGGGTAGCGTATTTGGGGTCCAGGGCAAAGCTCTGCGTGGTGGGCATGGGTTTCCCCGGCGACGTGGACAGGCAAGAGCAGAGGGCAGCCCGCTGCTGTGGGGAGCCCACCTGCAGGGCCATGGGGCTGGGCGTCCGTGAAGTGGGCTGTGACAGTGGGTCCCGAGGGGGGATTTGGGGTGGCCGGTCCTCTTCGCCCCCTGAGGCTGGGGACAGCTCACCAGACCAACGCCCAGGTTCATTGCGGCGCAGCGGCCGAGGAGGGATGGGAACGCGGGGTGGGATTTGGGGTTTGTCGTCAGCCAGGCACGCGGATGGCCCCCGGGGCACGTTGAACCTCTTCATGCACTCCTGCTGCAGCTCCTGGAAGATCTCAGTAGTCTGCATCAGGCTGGGTTGCTTGGTGTCCTTGGGGGGCAGAAAGAGGTTGTCCTCCAGCCCCGCCGCCCGCTCACCCTCATCCACAAAGCCGTAGTTGGTTTCACCCCGCTCACGTGCCCTGGGAAGGCCAGTACGGCTGCCCCGTCGCCCCAGGGGGCTGTTGATGGAGCACACCTCGAAGTCATCCTCGTCCTGTGCCACGTCATCGTAGGCGGGCGGTGGGGGCAAGGGCCGGGCGTCCCAGTCCACCACTGGCGTGGGGTGGAGGGGCCGGGGCAGGGCCCGTGTGGGGCTTTGCGGGGGGGTTTTGTCCAGCAGCGAGAAGGCTTCCATAGCCAGTTTGGCGAGGGAGGGGGCCGTCAGCTCCCCCACAGGCGAAGGGGTAGTGGGGGGCACCTCCTCCCCAAAGTCAATGAGGGTCACCTCGCCGCTCGTTGGTCCCTCACTGGGTGACCGGCTGGGTTGCCGCTCGCCCACCTTGGTGCCCGGCACGCGGGCAGAGGGCTTAGCAAGCCGCAGGCCCTTCCCTGGACCTGGCTTCTTCAGGCAGAGCTTTCGGAGGCCTGCCGACAGGCCCTCGTCCTCCTCACTGACCGGGTCGTAGGAGGGCTCTAGGAAACAAAGGAGAAAGCAGTGAGTATCCTACTACGCTACCCACCAATATACCCATCCCACGTCCCCAGCTGCTGCCAATCTCAGCGGTGACTCCAAACCCCAACTCCTTCCCAAAGCCACAGTAAGACTCCAGAAAGCTCCCCACAGCCCCATGGCACAGCAGCCTCAGCCACCCCTCACCCTGCTCTGTGGGCAGGGTCCATGGTGAGCCAGGACGTGACGACGCCCCCTGCTCCACTGCCACCCCAGTGCATGCCATTTCTGGAGCCCGGGAACACAGTCCACAGGGAGCAAAGCCATGCTGTCACCCCCAGGTGCCCAGCAGCACCCACATGTGCCATTGGTGAGAGCAAGAGCCAAGCACACAGCACACCCTGAGTACCTTGAAAGAAAGGAGCTAAGAGAGAAGAGAAGGGGCAGGAGCAGGACTGGCGGCTCCCAGAACAGCCCAACTTACTGGTAAGCAGGATGGAAGGCTGAGGCGGGCGCGGAGGCGGCTGCCCTGCGGGAGGAGAAGAGAGAGCCCGAGAGCAGGCGGGACGCAGGGTGAGCGCGCGGAGCAGGCGGCAGCCGGGGCGGCTGTTAGCAGGAGCATGGCGCATGCTTTGTCCCCCTGCACCGCTATGGACAGCAGCAGGTGCCGGTGGCTGCCCCAGTGGGTCGCGGGGTTGGGGGTACAGAACTTGCTCTGTGTTGGCTGCAACCGCACCAGTGAGCCGCTCTGCTCCGTAATGGGGAGCCCTGCCCCGGGAGGGGACGAGGGGCCCGGCCGAAGGCCAGCAGGGCAGAGTCCAGTCCAGAGGGGCCGGGCAGAGCCGCCCACACTGCTGGCAGTGGCACTGGGCAGGATGACAGCGTGTGCTGGATCCCCACCACCAGGGCTGCAACAAGCAAACGGCAGCAGAGAGACAGAGCAGAGGGGACAGAGGGATAGTCCTGCCCGCCACCCAGGCAGAAGGGTGCTCAGAAGGGACTTGGTGCAGCTGACAGGTCAGAGGTGGGGGGTGAAAGGGTGAAGACACTTACTTTTAGCCCTTCCTGGGAGCTGGGTGGGTCTGGCAGCACTCAGGTCCACTCCTAAAACATCAGGAGGGTCCATGGGATTTCCCAGGTACAGCCTGGGGGAGAAAGAAGAGAGCAGCAGGGGATCAGCAGGATGTTGCACCTCTCTGGGCACACGGGGCACACCTGGTTATACATTCTGTATGCTGCAACGTACAGTAGGGGGCTCACCCTGCTCCTTGCTGCAGGATGGTGACCCCACAGCTCCATGGAGAGAGGTATATCCCAACTGCTGCGTCCCTGTGATGCCAAGCGCCCATATGCTGCATTTTATGAGGCTTCTGGCTCTACAGCACAGCCCCTGGTGCCGTCCCAGTGTCACCCATCCCCTCTCTGCCTCCGGCACAGGGCACCCATACATGGGGTACCAAACCCAGAGCAGTACGGCGGGAGGCCCGGGCGAGCCATCGCAAGCCAGGCATGGCGAGGCAGAGAGCCGGCGCAGCCCGAAGGCCTGGGTGTGTGCCGAGCTCGGTGCGTTCTCTGCGGCCCGGACGGCACGTACCCAGGGCGCGTGCCCACGCAGCGGGGCGCGGGGAGGCCTGCCAGGGCACGAGGCATGTCCGTGCGCCCGGCGCCTCAACAAAGCACTCCGGGGGCCGCCTGCACAGCTCCTGTGCTGGGAGCCCTGCTGTATTGGAGCTGCGGTGCCGTGGGTACCACCATTGCATGAGGTGTGGGAGCAGTGCAGGCTTTGTAGCTGCATCTTGTTCCTCCCCTAATAGCCCTCCCACATCCCCCCTCCCCGAAGTTGGGGGAGAATCCACAGAGAGCTATAACCGTGCCCAAAGCTTCCTGGGGTCTGCTGCACCTCAGGATCCAATGCACCATGCCCAGCCTCAACGCTGCCCCAGTCCTCTTCCAGCCCTGCTTCCATTACAAACCAAACAGGGTCAACTCTTGGTAGAGCACGGGGAGAAGAAAATATAAGTTATGTCTATATAAAATACCAGCAGCTGTGATACTGTCACCTCTGGGGTGACACTTCCCCTGTCCCAGCACTGCCAAGAACCAAGGGGTCTGTGGGCCTGGGAGAAGGGCTCCACGTCCAGCCCAGCCCCGTGTCCCCATGCTCCATCCCATGCAGCACCCGACCCCATTAGTGAGAAGAGGTGAGGGGGTTAGTCAAGCTGCGAGGACCCTGCCCAGAGCTGTCCCCAGCACAGCAAGGAAGAAGAGGAGTTGTAAGGGAGGAAGGCCAAGCTCGCTCCTTGCAGGGGGGAGGCAGGGGGTGAGGGGGTTGCAGAGAAGACAGAAAGTTTCTTACTCATCAATTTTATCGGGAAACCCCCAGCACTGCTGAGGGTTGGTGTCTCCATGGCCTGTGTGGATGAAGCTGTTTTTAAGCGGCTGGCTGATGTCATGGGCCGACAGCCCCGCCACCGAGGTCACCGTGTTGCGGGGGAACTGGCCCACTTTTAGGGTCCGCTTATTCTGACCCCGCCACCAGTAATTCTCGGCCCTAAGGAATAAAAAGGACCTTCGTTACTGAGGATGGTGTGGGGAGGGTGGCAAGACCCCAGAGGGTGGCGATGGGAGGGGGACAGAGCCCTGCCCCAGTGACACAGGAGGAGCAAAGTGACTCAGCCTGTGACATGCAGGCAGGCAGTGGCACAGCTAGGGAGGGTGCCCAGATCCTAATCTTGAGCCCTGGGCCCCCCCCAGGCACCAGAATGCCAGGAGGGGGGCAGAAACCAGCACATAGGGGATGGAGGTGAGTGAGGAGCAGAGCTCCTTGTAGGGTGTGTCCATGCACACCCCGAGATGCTCAGGAGCCCTGGGCATGGGGCTGTCACTGAGGATGGAAGAAGCAATGGCCATGGGACCAAGAGTCTGGGTGCTGATGCTGAATCCCCAGATATCCCAGTGCCCACATGGGAAACCCAAGTGGGGACATCAGGCTGTGGGATCTCCCTTTCTTCCTTCCTCCCTACCAGTGGAGCCCCATGAGGGGTGAGCTCCCTCTGACTATCTGAGGACACTGGGTCCCAGTGGAGTCCAGCGCCGCCCCAGGACACAACTACCACTGGGGGGCACAGCCATAGGAGGGGACAAACCCAGAAAGCAAACTCCAGGGAGGCCCCCCCCAAGCAGCACCCCCTAGCCTTTCCCAATCCTGCACGCTGCCCCCCTCCTGCACCCCACGCACTGGGGGACGCCCGCAGCCCCGCTCTCCTCAGGCAGGCAGCGGAGCCGCGCAGGGGGTGGCACAGCTGCCGGCGCTGCCAACCCGGCGAGGCTGGCACGGGCCCCGCGGTTTCCTGGAGTCACCTGTGAGTCACCAGCGGCCACTAGCTCAGCCCTTTTCCTGTTTACCTTCCCCGCTCGCCGCCAGCCAGCCGCATTACTCAGCGCCGGGACCCCTGGCGAGGGCACCGGGCACCCTCCCTCGCCCGCAGCGCAGCGGGGCGGGCTGCTGCGTCCCCTCCCGTAAGGTTCCTGCTCCTTCCCCAGCTTCTCGAGCGATGCTGCGGCCAGGCTGCCCCAACCCCGCCGCTCAAACCCCCGGTACAAACCTGCTCCGTGCCCCGCATCCCTGCCGAAAGCCCCCTCCCTGGGCCTTCAGGTAGGTCCTGCCGCCGTGCACATGGAGCCGGGGGCCCCTTCCCCTGCCCACACACACGTACGCACACCCGGCGCTGGTTCAAACGACGTGCAGGGGCTTGAAAAAGGGGTGGGGGGTGTTGACGGTGCCCCAGGGCGGCCTCAACGGGGCCGGATGCAGCCCCCGGAGGAGCCCCCCGCCCACCGTCTCCTCCCTGCCCTGGCACTCCACAAAGGGAAACTGAGGCACGGGGCGAGTGCCCCCACCCCCAACAGCAGCACCACCGCGAAGCCCCACCAGCCCTACTCCACACCCCCAAAGCAGCAGAGCCACCCCGACGCAGCGCCTGCTGGGGAAACTGAGGCATGAGAGGCTGCACTCAGCCCCCCCAGCCCAACGGCTCCCCCAGAAGGACCGCATCCCCCCCTCCTGCCCCCACCCCAGTGCCCCTCACCGCTGTGCAGTTCACCCGGGGCCGGCAAGCGGGGCGAGCGCGGCAGCAGCAGCCCCGCAGTGCGCCCGTGATGCACCGGGGACGATGTGCGCGCAGTGGCGCGGCCGCGCCGCCCTCCGCCGCTCCTTTCCCTCCTTCCCTCCCTCCGCCGACGCCGTTTCCCTTCCCTTCCCCTCCCCTCCCCTCCCTGCAATTAAACCACCGCCAGACCCTGGGCAAGAGTCATCGGGGAGCAGCCGGGGGAGAAAGCTGGTCCCTGCAGCCACACAAATCCGGCCTGATTCACCGTGCCGGAACGCGGGGAGCCAGCCCCAGGGGAGGGGGGCAGAGGGGAGGCTGCGCCTTTCTCTTCGCCTCCACCCCGCTGTGGGGCCAGCAGGGGGGCTGGCACCCTGTGCAACATCGGGGAAAGGGACGCTGAGAGCCTCCAGCGTGTCCCTTGGGGATAGGGATCCTGGAGGGGATGCTCTGAGGATGAGCATCCAGGGACCTGGTGTCACCCACCCTCCCAGCTTGGAGCCAGGGACCTCCAGGGTAGGGAAGGAGGGCGTGGGGCAGGATGGAGCAGCCACTAAGCAAAGCCTCAGAGCAGAAGCAGAGGTGGCACTGAGGCCCTGGTGACAGTGGCACGTCCCCGCTGCTATCAGCAGGGAGCGGCTGCCTGGCAGCTGTGTCCTAGGGCAAGGCCATGGGGTGAGTCAGCGGGGACAGGTGCTGTGGAGCAGCCACGGTGCCCATGTCATGGGGGCACAGAGCCCCAAACTCCCCACTGCTCTGCCCACTGCTCCCCATCCTTGGCTGCGGGCCCCCACACAGGGGGGCTGTGCTTTAGGGGCTGTGCTTTACAGGACTGACTTGAGGTCCCCCCCCATGCACTACCTGCCCTCGATGACCGTGATGATGTCGTTCATCTGGATGTGCAGCTTGTCGGGTTCCTCAAAGTCTTGCAGAGCCCTCATGTCGGTGGGCTGGGCCTGCAGGGACGGTGGGGTGAGTGCATGGGAGCATCTCCACATCCCCCTTCACTCTGCACTGCAAAGGGGCAATGAGGACCACCTGAAACCTTCCATCCCACACCTACCTCCACCAGGAAGTCACGCAGGGCCACGAAAGTGGGCCGGTCCTCGGGCTTGTGGGCCCAGCACTGCAGCATGACGTTGTAGACATCCTGGGGACAGTCCTCGGGCCGTGGCAGCCTCTCACCCTCTTTGTCAATCTTGTGTAGGATCTGTGGGGCAAGGCAGTGCCATCACGGGACAGTGTGTGCTGGGGACATTTGGTCTGGGGAGCCATAGATAAGGGGCTTGCTGCACCCACCTGGCTGCCATTGAGGCCAATCCATGGCTCCTGTCCATAGGTGAACATCTCCCATAGTGTCACCCCAAACATCCAAGTATCACTTGCGTGGGAGAAAGTGCGTGTCTTTAGGCTCTCAGGAGCACACCTACAGAGGGAAGGATGTGAGCATCACAAGGGGTGGGCCCCCAGATCCCCCTCTCCACATGGACCCCCGGCCCAAGCTCACCAGGCAAAGGGCACCTTACGATGTTCCTGCATCACGTAGTGGTCGTCATTTTTGGGCAGAGCCCTCATCAGCCCAAAGTCCCCAATCTTGACCTGCTCATTGGAGGCCAGCAGGATGTTGCGGGCAGCCAGGTCTCTGTGGATGAAGCGCTTGGACTCCAGGTAGGCCATACCCTTGGCCACCTGGATGGCGTACTGGCACAGCGTGGAAATGAGAAAATGGCCCTGGTTCTTCCGCAGACGGTCCAGGAGGGAGCCAAGAGGGGCCAGTTCTGTCACCTGGGCAATAGGAACAGGATAGCAAGGTGGTCAAGCTGAGAACACCCCAATTTTGGGCTGCTTTCTGTTCCCCAGTCTTGGCACCACTGGAAAGACTGCAGTGGATACCATTGGAGGTGGACCCCATGCCCACCTGGCTCACTTGGCCCCACACACAGCACCACCGCCCTGCAGGGCTTGCTGACAGCAGCACCCAAAGGACGAGGCTGGTCCTGCTGGGGACTCACCATCTTCATGGGGTGGGAGAGCACCACGCCGTAGAGGCGGATGAGGTTCTTGTGGTCCAGCGAGTGCATGGCATTCACCTCGCGGATGAAGTCATCCAGCACCTCCGGCTGGCTCAGCACATCCGTCTTCAGACACTTCACAGCCACGTTGAGCTACAGCCGAGAGAAGGGGTGAGCCATGGAATGGGGACAACACCTTTCTGGGGGTGTCCCTGTGCCCAGACCCCCACCACCGGCGTAAGGTTTTGCACAGGCTCGTGCCCCTCACCGTCTTGCCAGCAGGCGTGCACCACTCTCCACGACGCACAACACCAAAGGAGCCATCACCCAACTTCTCGAAGAGCGAGAGGTCTCGCTCCCTGATGAGGCAGGTGAGGGAATGCTGGCCCCCTGTGTCTGGGGGGGGTGGCGTTGGGGGCTTGCGGAAGGTGCTGTGGGGCTGAGGAGGCAGCTCCGAGTCGGGGCGCTTCCCACTGAACACCTGCAGTGTGCAGAAGGGCAAGATGTGGGCTTGGAGACACCCACAAGTCCTCCCTCCCATCGGTGGTGGCCAGAGCCTGCCTCAGTTTCCCCTTCCCACCGGTGAGAGCTCTTGGTGCCTTGCTGGTGCCAGGCAGATGGGTCGCCCCGTCCACCTCTTTGGCTCTGCACATGCCGTTCCTTCTGAAACCTACTCATGACCCCACGTGGTGTTTCCCCAGCGGGCGGCGTGCTGAGCAGCACTTGTAGATGGATGGAAGAGGCTGCCCTCCAGCAGCCAGAGGTCCCGGGCTCTCCTCGGCCAGGCTGTGGGCACACGATGTGCCTGGGCACCGTTCCAAGAGAAACCTCCAGCGCAGTGACACATCCCTGCAGCAACGTGGGCCTTGCGACACGCGCTGCTGCTGCCAGCTGCCCAGAGGGGTTGGGGACCGGCTCTCCTCCCCACCAGCTGGCACTGGGGACATCGCCCACGGGAAGAGGTCTGTCCTGGCTCACAGCTGGGGCAGCTGGCACCCGCACGGGGGCCGGGGCAGGCATGTGGCTGCGGTGGGAGGTGGCATTTCTCTGCCCGGCACAAGGCTGAGTCGCCTTCTATTAAAAGCCAGGCACAGCTTGGCTCAGCCCAGATGAGTCACAGAAGGGAGAGGCCACGACCCAGCGCCCAGCTGGTGAGCACACAGGCCATCTGAGGCTGTGAGGTGCCCAGGGGTGCAGCATCACTGTCATTAGGGAAGGGTCCCTGGATCCCCCGCCCTAGTGCTGCTGGGAGCCGAGGCAGGCAGAGGGCTGCGCAGCCCACAGGGCTGGCTGAGGCTCTGCTACTAATTAGCTCTGAATAAGTTTCTTGGAAAAAGAGGCAAATCACAGGAGGGGAATGAATTTCCTGAGTGCCGATCCCAGCTGAGAAGTGACCCAAGAGCTGCGTAGGGCTGAGGCATGTTAGCCATACCTTGCTCATCCAAGATTTCCGCTTGCACATGGCTTTCCTCCGCTTCACTGCCTCCCACAGCCGCCGCTGGCCTATGGGATACAGGGACTGTCACTGACACAGGGCCCTTCTTGAGAAGAACCACCCTTCAGCCTTTGGGACCACGTGTTCCTCTGGGCTCCCCAAAAGAAGCAGCCACAGAGGGGTAAAGGGGGAGGTTGAGGGAGGAGGATGTACCCACCGGGGCGCCCCATGCCAATCTTCTCCAGATCCTCATTTTTGACGTACTCGAAGTGGGACAGGCGGGTGACGTTGAGTTCATCCCGGATGCGCAGGAAGTATTGTTGCAGCTGCAGCTCAGTCAGCAGCTCCAGCAGCCAGTCTGTGCCCTCTTCCGCCTGCATGCTACAGCTCAGCTTCTGCCACACAAGGTGCTGGGTTAGTGTGGACCCTGCACTGCTCCCCAGTGTCCCCAGGAGCCCAGCACTATCCCACCCATGTGCCAGAGGGGCTGGAAGCCGGGGCTGCTCCCTGTCCCAGTGGGGATGCTAGAGATACTCATGCGACTCACCTCCTGCAGAGCCCATCCTGGGCTTTCTTCCCTATCAGCAGGACCCATGGAGAAGGGCATGAACCCCATAGTGCCCACAGTCCTAATGAAACACACCCTGTGCTGTATGTACCCAGACAGCAGTGCCAGGAATGGAGAAGAGGCAGAGCCCCAAGGCATGGCACAGATTCCCATAACACTGTCTCCACACTGCATGCTGGCATCTTACAGACATAAGGGACAGTTGCAACTGGCACCACACACGCACACGGGGCACGCTCCCTGTACCCAGCTGCTGAGGGCGGAGGTGGCAGCTGTCCCCTGCAGGGACAGACACCTCAGTGCTGTCCTGCTGCCATAAGGCGGTGGCACAGGAGGAGACAGATGGAGACACAGAGCCACGAGTGTGCAGGGAATGAAGGTCTCCAGGGTGTCATCATTACCTCCCTGGAGCTGTGCTGGGGCACAGGATCCTCAACACCATGGATCCTCACGTCCTTCAAGTACCCCCCCTGTCGCACCGCACCTCACTGTCCCCTCTCTCCCTCCCCACCATAACCGCAGCCTTCCAGGAAGAAACCCAGCTCAGCTTCCCGCCTCCAGCAGCCAGAGGGGACGTGGGAAAGCCCCCACGCCGGCCCCACAGCAGGGCAGCCCCGTCCATCCTCCTCTTTCCCTGGGGAGACGACGTGGCCCCCGGCCCCCTCACCATCTGTGTCCCAGCTGCGTCACAGCCATCGCAGCCCTCGGCTAAAAATACGGCGGGCACGGGGCACGTGGGGGCACTGCAGCCGAAGGAGCCGCCAGCTCACAGCACGGGGCCATCCGCGGCACCGGGGGGGTGACGGCCACTTACTCGGTAGACGCGGAAGCGGGCGAGGAAGGGGAAGGAACGGCGCAGAGTCTCGAAGCGTCGCATCCTGTTTGGCTGCAGCCTCGGCCCAATGTGCTCAGGGTACCCCTGCGGGTGCCAGCGTCCCTGGGGCACGACGAACGCAGCAGAGACAGGGGACCTACAGGGGTGTCAGCCCGGCTGGGCGACGGCTTGCTGAATGCCACCCGGGTACGGCCACCCCACACATCCCACAGCAGGCGCAGAGGGCTCGGGGCATCCCTGCTGCACAGGGGCCGGCAGCAGGACGCAGCGCTGCGCTTCTCCTCCTCCTGCTTCCGTCGTGCCCTCCTTCCCGGCCGTCCTGCCCTCCCCTTCCCAAACGCAATGGGGTTGGAGCTGCGGCGTCGGCGCTTTCCCGATCGGTGCCCACGGGTTCGCTCCCCGGCAGTTGCTGTCTGTGGGTCCTGGGGCTTCGAGCGGCCGCCCTGCCCAGCTCCTGTCCCAGGAGGGTTTATTTTAGCTGCGCGTTGGCCCGGCTCTGGGCCGTGCGCCCAGGGGGCCGGGCTCCGATCAATGTGCTGCTTTCTCTCTTGTTCGGCGGGTGCTCGGCAGCTGCACCGCCTGGGAGAGCGGACCCTGGCTCCCATTGCCATGGAAACTCGCTCCGGCCTTGGGAAAAGCTCCCAGGCCTCAGTTTCCCCCCTCAGGAAGCAAGGCGGGAGGGGGGACATCCGGCCTTGAGCTCCCAAAGGGGAGGCAGTGGGCATGAGGCCAGGGTGACGGGCACCGTGCCGCTGCCCCACAAGCCACAAGGGACAGTGGGTGTGCTGCCAGCCCCATAAACCTACTCGGCTGCCAGACCCTGCGGGGTGCTGGGGGACATAGAGATGGACCCCTCCACAACCATCGGTGTGCCAAGGTGACATGGGACAGGCAGCTCTTGCTGCATTGTGGCCATGCCCAAAGAGCTTCCGCCGTGGCTTCCAGTGCTGGGATCCCGGCTGGCACCCGGCACAACGGCCCCATTGAGGAGGGACAGACGGGCACAGTGCCCTCGGCACCAAGCTCTGCCACGCGCCAGCTCTCTGCCCTGGGGACACCGAGGGTGTGGGGGTTCCCTGTCCCACTGTGCAGCCCCCAGCACCCTCTGGTACCTCCAAGCCCGGGACAGCTGTATTCCAGCTGTGCACACCTTGCTTCAGTTCCCCTCCTTGCAATGGGTCTAAGAGCACAGGGCCAACACCACCACCTGAGCCCCCAGCACCCCAGTAGGGTGCGAACCCCCAGAAACTGTGGGGCACAAACCACAGCCCCCACCACACAAGGAGACAGCTAAGAGCCACGGCACAGGGGCAGGGGGATGGATGGCACAGGTACCCACGCACACACCTGCAGCACTGAGATGCACCCTACGTGCACGCACGCTCCTGCACGGGCGGTGACGGCTCTCACGTGCGCCCCAGGACCACACACACGCAATCCTGCAACCACACGCACCACGCACACACCCCGACACGTGCACGACCGCAACCACACCTCCCTCTCCCCTTCCTTGCGTTCAAACACATCACCTCCGTTCAAACACATCACCTCCGCGCACCCCTCCCCAACTCCCCTGCAGCTACCACCGTGCCCGGGCGCACGTGCACCAACACCCCGAGCACCAACAGCCCACCACCTTCTCCGACTGACGCACGTCTGGCTGTGCGCCCGCACACCGCTCCTGGGCACCGCGGCCATACACCCACGGCACCGCGCAACGTCACGACTCTGCCCACGGGCTCAGCCCCGGGCGGCACACGCAGCGCCGGTGCGACGCGCGCCCTCCCGAGGTGACAAGCGGGGGTGCACAAACACATCCCGACCCCCCTCCGAACCCTTTCCCCGCGTCCCTGCACCCCGCACCCCTCGCTCCCATAAGGGGAAACTGAGGCGCGCTACGCGAGTGGTACCAACACGCAGCCAACCCCTTGGTGGGAGGGGGAGAGGGGGCGAAGGGACAGCCCCGATTTGCACAGGGTGACCCCAGAAAGGGGACAAGGGTCCATGCCGCTGCAGATGGCCATCTGCGTGGCTGCCAACCACCTGTGCTGGGCACCGTGCCCGTCCTGCGGCAGCCCCTCTGTGCCCAACGCGGTGCCAGCACCAGCTGAGCCAGGCTCACACCGTGCCACCAAGAGGGGACAGTGCACGCCTGTGTGAAAACACCTGGGTCCACATCCCAGCATGTCCCTCAGTAACACAATTCCTCCCCCACCCACATGCCCCGTGCCTCAGTTTCCCCAAGCATCAGGGAAGGAGTGCAGCCACGCAGGGTGGCTGCTGTCCCCAGGCCAATTTATGGGGAGATGCCATGCAAGGGAGCATCATCGTGAGCCCCCTAGGCCATGCCAGCCTCAAATCCACAAGCACCCTGGGGACGCCATGGGGGCCGTGCCACTGCTCCCCCCGTCTCCCCCAGCACTGACCCGCCGGCACGCCATGCCCAGAGTGACGTCCTGCTGGGGAGGCAGCCCAGGACGACTGCTGCCCATCCGTGGGGCTCGCAGCCCGCTGCTGTCCGACAGGCTGTGGGGCAGGGCGGGCAGCATCTCCTCCTCCTCCTCGGCGCTGCTCAGGCGCTGGTAGTCACATCTCTCGCCCATGGCAACGGCGGCGGTTGGGGGGCTCTGCGCCTGCCTGGGGGCGGCGAGGGTTGGAGCCGGGCACGGGATCACATGGCAGAAAGTTGCTGCAGTTCCGGAAAACAGCGAGAGGGTGAAGGTGACCGCGGTGATGGAGGGGAAGAGGGAGGGGGGAGGATGGACGCGTAGGGGAGGGGGAGAGAACGAGGAGCCCCCCGGGTACCCATCCTCACCGTGGCACTGCTGTTCTCCTCCCAGCTCCGCAGCTTGCGTGCCCCCCCCGGTACCCGAGCGTGGAGGCGGGGGCATCGGAGGTGGCATCACCGCAGCCTCTGTCTCCCCCCGGCTGGCACTGCGCAGCCCTCGTCAGGCAGAGGGGAGCAGCGGGGAGCACCACCCGGTGGGGTGGGGGCTATGGAGGTCCCGTGCCTATCCCAGGGGCCGCGGGGGAGGGCCGCAGCATCCCCAGCATCCCTCCTGGTGTGGGAGGAGGGGGCAGGGATGCGCGGGGAAGATGGCTGCTGCGCAGCACTGGCGCAAAGCTCAGCAGGGCAGGGAGCGTAGCCAGGCCCTGGTGTGATGGGGGAGCATGCGGCAAGGATACACTGTGATATCCCACCTCTAGCACAGAGCTGGGGGTGGTCCTGAGATGCTGCCCGTGCCTGCAGCCCTCCAACATCACATGCAGTCACAGCAGGAGCGAGCGGCGCTGTGTCACCCCCCCGGATGGGGACCTGTCACTATCCCATCGGAGCCCCCAGGTGCAGGGGTCTTACAGGGGGCTGAGTCGGAGCCGCAAGACGGGGAGGAGGTGGGGCTTAGAGCTCTGCAGCCCCGCTACACCTGCCTGTGCTTGGAGGCATCATACAGCCCCAGGGACCAAAGGGGTCCTGGTGCCACCACTGCTTGGCACGACGCCCACCCCATCTCCTGGTCCAATGCCACAGAGCATGACACCCCATTCTACATCCCATTCTGCCCCCTAGGAACACTATACACCCCACCTCTGTCCCCAGCGACACCCCCCCACAGCTTCTCCCTTCCCATCCCCTTGCCCCCTCCCCTCCCCTGCACCCACAGCTCCGGCTAAGCTGCAAGATGATCCCACGGTTCCAGTGCAGGGGGCACAAGCCCATCCTGCTCCCAACGTCCCAGCACACCCCATACCCAGCGGGGCAATGGCCTCTCGGCGGCCCCTCCTGCCATACCACAGAGGTGAGCTCAGCACCAAGCTGAGCCCGCGGGCGCGGGGCGTGGGAGCAACAGCCACCTCCGCGCGCAGCCCCGCCGGCGTCACCGCTGTGACTGATGCACGTGCTATGCCACCTTCCTGCTGGCCCCGGCCACACTGCCCGTACAACCCCCCCAAGAGAACTTTCACCCAGTGCCAGTGGAGCAGTGCTGCAGGGTCTGAGCCCCAGGGTCACTCCACACAGCCAGGACAAGCTATGCACATGGCACGAAGCCTTAAACCCATTTGTGGGTTGTGAACCGAAACCCAATCCCAGCACCCATGGACCTGCGGCTCAGCCAAACCCCCAAAGCAAGAGCAGTCTGGAGCAGGTGCACAGAACCACCCCAGGGGGTTCCCACCAAAACCACGGCCACTGTGGCAGTGACAGTCACACTGACCACAAAGTATCCTCCCCACCGCAGGACACCGCAGGACACCGGACCTCCCCATTGCTCCAGGCAAGCCAGCGTCATCCTTGTCCCCACATCCCTCTTGATGTCCCCAAGGAGCAGGGCAGCAGCATCCCCCACACCCACTCCATCTCCCCATGGAGCTCTGAGGCAGGGGTTTCCCACTCACCTCCAGTGCAGCACATTGCCCCGCTCACTGTCACATCAGGGCTGACGCTCACCACCCTGCCTGCCTCCTTCCTGACAGCGGTGTCACCTGGAAGTGATGTCACCGACTCCAGCAGCGGCACGAGTGGCTGTGCCCTAGGCTGGTTTGCTCAGCCCTGGCGGGGCCCCAGGGGTGGCCCCAAATGGCAGTGACAACACTCAGCAGGCTGGCTGCTCCAGTGCAGCCACGCACGCACACACACACATAAGGACACCTGCAGGATGTCGGTGCCCCACTCCCCCGTTGTGCTGCCTCTTGCCCCCTCTGAATCCCAGCGCGGTGCCCCCATACCGATGTGTGTTCTGCCTTCCTTGCTGCTGGCACCTGGCATGGCTCGCTGGGACATCTCGGAGGGCCGGCACGGAGCAATGCTGACGCCCGTGGTGGGGGTGGGCGGCGAGGCCGGCTCACTGGGTGCCCCTGTGCTGTGGGCTCGGTGCCACTGGAGCCCAGCACCATGGTTTGGTTCTGCCCCAGTGCATCTCCTGCTCTCTGCGCAGCCATCAGCCTGTGGACGTGTCCACAGCCCAGCAGTGCCCCCCCCGCCCCGACAAAGCCCAGTGCAACCCCAATCCTCTCCCTAAGCCTCTTTCCTCTGCTAAATCCGCTCCGTATGTCAGGTCGCAGCCCATCGCCCACAGGAGCTGTTCCCCATCTCTGCACCCACAAGTAGGACCCAGCCCCAGTCTGGAATGCATCCCCAGGGTGGTGGGAATATGGTGAACTGGGTGCACAGGGGGATTTGCGACCCAATCTCATCCCTGGCTCTGTTTCCTCTGGTTGGTTTCACGGCCCAATTGGCTGCATTTTTGCACAAAAAGGCAGGAGAGGCACAGGACAGCAGCCAGGCAAAGAGGCAAGGACACATGCATCAGCTGTAGGCACTTCCAGCAAAGCAGCCCCCCAGCACCCAGCCAGAGCCCCATGTCCAGAGCAGTGTCAGAGAGCACATGGCACAATCCAGCACTGCCACATGATGGCACTGGGCTTGGCATCACTGAGCATCACCGCCCCAGGGATTGAGCCACCAAGAGACCCCCCCTGCAATTGGGCAACCCAACGCAACACCAGTCTGTGCCTGGCAGCCCCCACACTCCTCTTACCTGTACTGGGGCAGGCGGTGCAGCTCAGGTCCGTTGGCAGCACCACTCTGTGCCCCAGCGTCCCCACGAGCCCAGCACTGACGCAGAGGTGGCACAGTGTCACGGCTTCACCCACGCAGCCATGGGGGTTGCAGAGCTCTGGTCACACTGCCCATAGGGTGGCCTGGGGAAGGAGAGGTCAAGATGGGACCCTGACAACCCCACAGAACCAAACCCAGGGGCAGCACCAAAATGCCCACCCACAGCACGCTGGCCATGGAGATGTGCTTGTACTTGGGGGCACATTGGCCATGGAGCACCAACCTCATGCACAGGGGTTCTCTGTACCCACGGTCCTCCCATCCCCAGCATGAGTACAGCATCTAGTCATGTCCAGGAACCCCAAATCTGCCCCCACGTGCCCAGAGCTGGGAAGAGGCCTCGGTGCCAAGCAGAGCGGCACCTTGGCCAGACCACGGAGCACCTGGCTACTCATTAGCACTAATTGGCGGCAGCCTAATGGGCCAGGCAGTAGAGTGAGCAGTGCCCCCTGGTGTTGCTCAGTCAGTGCGGGATCGCAGTCAGCCCAGAGCACAGCTGGAGGGGGGTGGCTGGGCACCCCACAGGGCACAGGGCACCTAGGGGAGCCTCTGCTTGCATTAGGTTGGGACTGAGAGGGACACTGGGGACAGAGACAGCCCTTCACGCTGCCCCAAAACCCTGTACACCCACACCAAGGGCTGCCCCCACCCCAAAGAATCATTTCCCTCAGCTGCAGCAGGGGATGGAGCCGCACGGTCTCACCCGCTCCCGAAGCACCACACCTGCAGGAACCGGTGGTGCAGGAGGTGCAGCCGCCCCATCCCCTGCATGCACAGCCCCATCCCCTGCAGGCATGGCCTCCCCAACACCGCTGCCCCCCAGCTCTCCTCCATCTGCAGCTGCTGCACCATCCCAGTGCCGCAGGGTAAGGGCTCTGCTCCAGCCTGGGTGCTGCCAGGGGCTGGAGGCAGAGAAGGAAAGCTCCTCCCTGTGCTTTAGGGAGGGAGGGTGCATTGGGGGCAAAGATGTCTCCAGTCCCAAACCCATTCCACTTTGAGGAAAGTGCAATGAGAGTGCTGTTTCTCAGAGCATCCCTGAAATACATCAGCAGATGATGCTCTCCAGGAACATCCACCTGCAAATCAGAGACAAACTCAGTGGCCCTGGACAGGATGGGGCTCATGACATCCCCACCCTCAGTGCCCCAAGGACCAGCACCCAGCTGACCCCCTCCCTGTGAGGCTCCACAGGTGGATCAGCCCCACATGGCTCAGCCACAGGGAACCTGAGAGCCCACTCCTTCCCACCGTGCCTATACCCCAGGGGCCTCCCAGGGGAAACTGAGTCACGGCCGCCACCCCCACGCCCAGCCCCAGGCAGCAACAGGAGTGGAGCGGGGGCACCAGTGGCCCCAAGCTGTTCCCATACAGTCCCACCGGCACCAGGCCAACGAACACCAAGCTAACGAGGCCTCGGGTTGCTTCAGGGGCTGCAAACAGGCTGCGCAGCCCAAGCCCCCAATGTGCACCCCGAGGTGGGTTCGTGTGGGGCCACAGCTGCTCGGTGTCATCTGTGGGGTGGGCTACATCGCAGACTCTCTCCACAGAGTCCCACTCCTGCACACCAAGGTGCCACTTCACGCAGGCTGCAGCTTCAGCAGGGTTTTACCAAAGCGGATGCTGTTTCCCACTCGCTTCATACCAAACCAGCCCAGCAAGGGTGCGCCTATGGGAACCCCACAGGGGGAGACCCACGGTGCCCGGACAGCAGGCAGGGACAGGGGCTGCGCCGGGGCGGCTCCGCAAAGGTGAGCGCGTGGGGAAGCGCAGCGCCGGGCCGTGTCTCAGCCTGCCCTGGGTGCTGCATGGCCCCAGGGAACCCCGTGCCCGGGGTCACCGCGTCTGGGCCAGGGGAGCGGGGCAACCGACTGCCCCCTCGGGATAGCAGGCCGGGCAGGGTCCTCTCAGCGAGGCACCGTCGGGATTAAGTTTTGCAGCGCTTAAAAACAAGAGGCTGAAAGCAAGCCAACGCGTCTCGAGCGCTTTAGTGGGACAAACCTGCCCCGATGCGGCCGTGCTGGGGACGGAGGGTCCCCGCGCCGCGTGACGCACCCGAGCCGGGGGCCATGCCCCGAGCACAAGGATCCTCTGTTCAGCGCGCACAGCTCCCAGGGGCCGGGGAGGAGTGAGAGCGGAGCGGAGCTGCGCCCGCGACGCCAACCTTCGGCGGGGCACAGCTCCCCGGAGGAGGCCGAGCGCCCGCATCCCCGCACTGCCGCTGGGCACGGTGCCAGCGCCGCAGCACCGCCTCCACGTGCCGTGCCCGACCCCGACATCTCTATGCGCCATCCCGGAGCCCGCTGCCCCACGAGCCATCCCGGCCCCCGGCCCGCATCGCCCTCACCTCTCGGCTCGCGGCCTCCGGTCCCGCGCGGCGTCCCGGCGCTGCAGGCACCATGCCGGGCGGCAGGGGAGGCGGAGAGGGGGTCTCCGCCCTCACACGCCGGCCTCGCGCCTCCGGGGCGGCCACGTGCTGGGGGGCTGCTCTTGCTCCCCGCGGTACCGCTCACCCTCCTCCTGTACCCCGCGCAGCGCCTCGCCCTCCTCCTGCCGCCCCCTCCTGGCCCACCAGCGGGCTCTGCCCGGGGGGCTGCCCCCCTCCCCTCGCTGCCCGCGCTCCTGCTGTGCCCGGCGGCTCAGGCCCTGCTCCTGCCGCGCTTTGGGGCCGCGCTCCTGCACCCCCCGCCGGCCCGCCCTCCCCCCCCGCCCCCCGGGGCTGCCGCTCTCTGCGCCCCGCGCCGCCCTCCGCCCCCCGTTCCCCCACTGCTCGCGGGGTCTCCGCGCCGCCTTAACGCCCACGGCGGGGGCCGCCCGCTCTCCCCGCTCCTGCAGCCCCACCCGCACTCCCAACGCCACCCGCTGCCACTGCCCCGGCCGCCCCGCGCCGCCCCCGGCCCCGCCGCTCTCCGCCTCCCTCCCGCCGGCCACCAGCTCCTGGCCCTGCGCTCCCAGCCCCGCTTCCTGCACGCCCTCCGCCAAACCCCCCGCTTCCTGCACCCCCGGCGCCACGCCGCCCCCTTCCTGCACCCCCGGGCTCAGCCCCCCGCCCTCCGCTACCCCCGGCCCCCGGATGGTGCCCTGCCGGCCCCGCAGCGCTGGGGGCTCCGCTCGGCAGCTCCCGGTCCCGCTCCCGGTCCCGGCCTCCCCTCCGCCGGGAGCTCCCGGGGCGGCGCGCCGTCCGCCCGGCCCCGCTCTTAAAGGCGCCGTGCCGCCGCCTTACGTAACGGCGGGGCTGCGGGGAGGAGGCGGGGGTGCACGGGGCGGCGGGAATAGGCACAGGGTGAATGGGCACGGCCGGATGGGTGGAAGGGTGGAATGATGGATAGAAGGGTGGAATGATGGATGGATGCACGGACAGGTGCAGGCGCGGACAGATGGGGGGTCGAGGGGCGCACCCTCCCGCTGCGGCACACGCTGCGCGGCCCGAGCACTGCGGCCCCGGGGCTCTGCAGTCACTGCAGGGACGGGAGCGCTGCCAGGCCGATAGGGGAAACAGCAGGCAGGGTGCCTGCAGAGCTGCCTCCTCCCAGAGCCTGCTAATGGGAGGATGCACTGCCTCTCTAGTCAGGCTGGACAGTGCTCTGAGCGCCCGATGGAGCTGTAGGTGCCCCCGTTCAGTACAGGGGAGTTGGACTACATGGCCTTTAAGGGTTCCTTCCAACTCAAACAGGTCTGTGATTGTATCTCCTGCTTCACAGACACGGTTAAGTGAGACTGGCAGGAAGGACCAGAGAAGATAGCACAGAAAAGTTGAGCATCCTAACCCAGTAAAACATTTGCAATGGGAAGTCCTGCAGTAAGAAGGCTGTACACCTTTGTCTTGGTGGGGGATGGAGCACTCGAGGATGTTGAGCAGACCTAATCCAGGCACTGACCCTCCTCAGGTTATGAGGTGCAAGGACAGGGCAGCGGGAGCCACCCACATCACATAGCAGCACCCAAGCTCCATACTACACATGTAGAGAGCAGTCAGCTATGGCCTTCCAGGGCACAGGCATAACTACCCATGGCCAAGGATGGGAAGACTGGCATCTGTCATCCACTCCCAGGCCTCAAGGTCTGATTTCTGAGTGGTCCCACATACAGCCATGAGATGGACTTGATAATCCTCATGAGTCCCTTCCACCTTGTGCTATCCTGTGACTTTAACATGGTGACTGGGAAGCAGCAGCCATGAAGGGAGGGGGACAGCTCACATCCATCACTTTCCCACATCACCGCCTGCGTCCTCAGCCCGGTTGCCTGGAGAGAAACAGCACTCTGAGCACTCCAAGCAGAACAGCATGGTGAAGTTGGGAGGTCCCCATGGTGGCAGTGGGGATGGCGGAGCTCGTGTGCAGTTACAGCTCCAGGAGAGCAGCCTGTCTCCAGCTGCCCATCAGAGGCAACAGAGGCATCAAGAACCCACAGGAGTTCAGTGTTGAATCTTTCAGAAGTTTTATTGAAGCAGACAGCAGATAACCTCGATACAGACAGTAACACCCCACACCAAGTCAGACACAAGCCGCACCACAGCAGCAGGCACGGCTGTGCTGGCTCCTGACTCTCCAGGTTTCATCTTTCTCTGCTGGTCGCAAAGCACACACTTAAGTCTGACATCAAGATGCATGCAAGTGCTACAGCAAGGAGTCACAGACAGCAAGCTCTTAAATGCCATCTGGACAAGTGTCACTAGGAAACAGCTACATAGGGTTGTGCACACGCCTCAGAGACAGCAGGGCAGTTAAGGATGAGCACTGGGACTCGCACCTGGACAGCAGGCTTCCAGCTTCCGATGAATGCAAACAGAGCCCCTCAGTTCACATGGGCTGAGCTCACTGCACAAGCAGTGGGCACCTGTGCCCGACCTTTGTGGAGGATGGAGTCTCTCACCCAACTGCACATCCTTCAGGCGTTACTGCTGGGCCTCAGGTAACACTCAATTTAAATTATCATGATTTTTAACTTTTTTTTTTTTTTTTTTCCTAAACAAAGTACACAGCTAGATGCTGCCTGACACCTTCCTCCTGGCAATCTGCAGATGTCAAACACCAACAGTGCTCAGCATCGGGTCAGGGAGCAGTGCAGCACCACGAGGAAGGTGTTTCTCCCAAAAGCACCCAAAAG